GCTTTACCTCCTCACCCCACCTCCAAACCCTTTGCCAAATGACCTCAAGAAGAGATAGGGCTCAAGTGTGATTTTTAAGAGTTGCCCAGTTGTTACAAGGCCTGGGACCAAGAAATGTTGGAAAAAACTATTATGAATCCAGGTATAATGGTGACCTCTTGTGATTCCAATTACCTAGGCTGAAGCAGAAGGGTGGCTTGAGTCCATGAATACAAGACCAATTTGGGCAACATAGTGAGACATTATCTAAATGTGGGAGGAAAGTGCTTGTATGTATTCCAAGGCAGGTAAAGAGCCAGGCTATCTTTTCTGAAGCCCTTCCCTGAAAGTGTACCCCAATAAAGTCTGACCTGATCAAATGCAAGGCTACTTATGATACTTATCCAACTGAATGTACATGTTGATATGCATGTCTTCATTAGTCTAGCTACTAAATATTCTCCTAGTTTCACCATGATGTATTTGTCATCTTTCTAAAATCTGAACTAGTCTCCAATATATCAAGGCATATAGGACACAGGTTCTGGATAAAAGACTCTGAATCTTTATTATCTTTGGATACTATACAGTTTGTATTCCCATAAAATAAATGTTATAGACACAAATTACTACATATAATAAGGCTCTAGGCTTTAGTAGTAGAGACTTGTTAGGATAAAGAAAGCATATTCTGGTCCAACTAGAAGGATCCTGAGTTTCTAAAATGTTCCTTTCAAATTGACTCTAAAGAGCCAGGCATAGTGACACATCCAACCATGGGAGATAGCAGCAAGAGGATGACAAGTCAGAGGTCAGCCTGAGCTACAAGGTAGACCCTATCTTAAACAAAACCAAGCAAATGTAACAAATCAAATAGAATCCATTTGTAATATTGCATTCATATCTCATAGCAGTTAGAGATTTCAACTGGATTCTAGGACTTGCTTAAACAAAGTCTATTCTTGTAGTCTAGATCATAAGTAAATAAGACTCCTTATGGGGTATAAATGTACCTTGGATCATGTACAGAAGAGCTGGAAGAGACCCTTAAGAACTAATCTGGACTATTATCCATTCCCTTCCAAACTGTTTTAACATCCATAAGTTTCTTTTTCCAGTGAGGTAAGGATAACCTGCCCTGACCTGTCCTTGGTCTATAGAACACCCTGCAAGTCATGTGAATAACCTGGGTGGAGTACACAAATATGAAGCAAAAAAGATCATCTGAATAACACAATCAATCTTAAGAGCTTGGCAAATGTTTCATATTATATTTTAGAAAATCACAAAAATTTCTAAGTCCAGATAAAAGATGATTTATCTAACACATATTTTTAAAAAAAATATATATATATACAACTTTAAATAGTCAAAATAAATTCAATGAGTCAACAACATAATTCCACTGCTTAAAAAAAAAAGGGAGAGATACTCTGTCCTTAGGGAACTAAATACATAATCAGTGTTGTACCCAGAAGAAACAAGGTAACCACTCTCTCTGCTATGAGCTATGCTAGAGTACATCTAGACTATTAGGTTCAATTCTATGTGTTTTAGGAGAGTCACACAAAGACTGAAAAGATTCAAAATAGAAGTGACCAGGATAGTGATGAAACATGAAACCATGTCAAGACCAAATGAAGATGAAGAAGCTGAAGTTATTAGCTAAAACTCAAAATACGATCACACCCACAAGATCCAAAGAAGTGCACAGGGAAAACAGACTTGTTGTAGATGTTCCCAAAGGCCAGATTCCACTGAGTTAAATATTAGGTACAGACAGAGGTGTTTCACCTAAGGCTATAGAAGTATTTCTTAAATTGTAGAGCTAAGCTGGACGTTGGTGGCTTCTAAGCTCCTACTAGCCTGGGAAGTTCATTTAAAACAAGCAAGCAAGCAAGTAAGCATTTGCCATTACCTCAGGGTCTTACTGCTGAGTATTACTAGCTAGTAAGCTTTTCTTCCCACCCTTTATCCAACTAATTCGTATAGTGTTTACCAGGTTTGTGAGAGGAAAGTGCCTGCTTGCTGGGTAATTAGTTGGACCCTAACTGATCAGCAGGTAAAAGCTTTCAGCTAAATCTCCAGGAGAGAATTCTTACTGATTCACACAGCAGGTAAACGACCTTCCCAATCAAATGACAAAGTAAATGGTACCCAGTTCTCATAGAAATGTTGAAATAAGATTTTACAAACATCTTTCCCAATGGCAGGAAATCCAGCTTTGCAAGCCAAATCAGCTGTCTCAAATCCATATAGAAACTTTTCTCTGTTGAAGAGTTATGCTATCTAGAAGTAGAATGGAGCCCATGCTACAATTAAAAGTCCCACTTGATTATATCACTGTAAGGCTAAAATTACCTACCAGAAGGCCACAAAGTCAGTCAGTCAAGTCTTTGAGAACTAAACATAGACAACAAAATGAATTCATGGAGGAGTATAAATTACAGAATATTTAAACAAAGGTGAATGACCTCAGTTTGATATCCTGAAGTGTTTGCTACAGTAAGATAACCATACAGATATTAGCCCATGGAAGCTACTAAAAACAGTTCAAATTGATTAATATTCATCACCCCAGCTTTGCTTCACTTGAAGTTGAATTGAATTCTAAGTACTGATTTGATATCAAAGTATCAGAGAATATAATAAATATATGATAGACTTAAGAATATATTCTCTGTAATTTTCAAAGCAATATATATATATACATATATATTAGGAACCAGTTAATTAATAAGAAACTGGTTAAACGAGTCTACTTCTTCTGTGTACATTTACAATGAAAAATAAAACTATTGGAAGGTATATGGTAGATCCTAGGTACTGACATGAAAAAAAATAAGTTTTATGTTACATAGTTAAGTGAATACACAAAGATGAAGCAATATGTATAGAAGTATTGCATTTTAATTTTACAAACTATTTGGTTGCTATGATGGTGTCAGAAATTGTGCACAACAAGCAAATCTCTACCCCTCAGCCCTAAAAATTATTTTAAAGTATTTTTTGTGTTGATATATGCCCAGAAAATTGTTTTAAAGATCAAACCTAAGAGGAGTAATCTCTAATGACTGGAACTACAGAGCAGCGATAAAGTGGCTTTTCCCTTTTTCTTTGTAGGCTTTTGATTATCTCTTTTGACAGTAAGAATTTAAAATGACAAATATGAATTGACATTAACTGTGTTTATTCATCAGATACTAACAAAAACAAGTAATTTCTACTTAAATATGGTGTGCTTAAAACTCCAGAAATTCTAACATCCGTTTTCTATTTATTAAAGCAAAGTATAAAAATCACAAATCCCCACACAGCTTCTCTAATATTTTTCCAATCAGAAAAAGGAGCTAGTCGTAGGTGAAAAGTGACATACATGTGATGCATGTCACGTTCCAGGAACTATTCTAAGCACTAGTTAGGTATGCATTAACAGTGGACTTTTTCTTTCCTCTCCTACCCCCTCTCCACTGTTTTTATCTTTTCTGATAGAATCTTGCTATGTAGGGCAGGTTGCCTTAAACGGTATGTAGCCAAGGCAAGCTTTGAACTCTTGTCTTTGCTTTCTCAGTGCATCACCACACACCCTCAGCCCAGCTTTCATAATTTGCACAGCAAGCCTATAAGGACTAGGATAACCTTCAGCTCAAGGCTGAAGAAAGTGAGACCACAAGGACTGAGTGATCTGTCCACACTTACATAGGCAAAAGAGCAATAAGCTGGGATTCAAACCTAAAAAAAACGGATTTGATAGTCTCCACTAAACTACTAGTCTAACTTTAGTAATATGCCAATCTCTTTTTATAAGACTCAAAAAGTATCACAGGTTTAAAAAAAATGGCTAGTTAATACATTCCTTGGAACTGAAAGTGATCCAAATGTGGCTTCTTGGGGGTGAATAATCTGCATTCCTATTTATGCCTTTGCCAAGCTCCAACATACAATTCAGGACTTAACCATCTGGGAAAACCCTCTACCAACTCAATTATAGTCCAAAGTCCATACCTGACTCCACAGTAAACCACTGAGCCTAAGAATTAGGTCAATGATCAGATCAAGCTAGACAAGTGCTTTGGGCGATTCTCCACCCCAAATGCAAAGCAAAAGATCTCAGAAACTTGCTGGATGTCTTAAAGAGACAGGAGTTACTGCTTGAGTTCCTGGCCCACTTAAGATACAAAGGGTGAAAGAACAGCGGTTGTTTCTTAACTTTGCTTAAAGACTTTCACTAGCAGAAGAACTGTATTTCCTATTGTGAGCTCAAACAGAAATTGGCATGTCAGCATCAACAGTCAGGAACATGCCAATTTTTAAAAGGGCAAAAATGGGCATCCTTGCTTAAATAGCATTTGCCCAAGCACTGTCCTTGGAATTGAGACAAAATGAAGTAGTGCAAGGAAGGGATTTAACCTAATTTATAAACCTGCTCAACCTAGATACACACCTGTCCCAAATGACCTACCAAGTCTACTTATTTGCAGAGGAAACAATGGCGGTTTTATTTTTAATTTCATGCCTGAAATGGCCTGCTTGTAAGCAAAATCCCCTCAGTATGTCTACACACACACACACACACACACACACATACACACACACACACACACCAGCAAAAAGAAACAAACAAGGAGATTGGAGCTTTGGAGGAATCCCTTCAGGTTCACCCGTGCATTCACAGAGCACCATTCTAGCCTTCAAACTTCCCCCCAAATAACACAGGCAGGGTGGCCTTCTGGGCGGATCCCAAAAGTTTGCATCCATTCTGGGACCAGAAAAACCCCGTTCTAGGAAGAGACACTAAGCAGCGGCTCCCTCTGGATGGAGCACAGCACCGGGTTGGGGTGGTGGTAGTGGTGGAGGAACCGGACAAAAGACTTTCTAGATTTGAAGGGATTGAGGCTGAGTCTAGGTGGAGCCTGGATCTTCCCTTGGGAGAGTCTAAGACAAGCGGCCAGAATGGGGTGACACGAAGATGGACAGTGACTGGGGGAAGGTGCAGAGGTCGAGGAGGCACCGGGACTCACCTGGGGGAGGAGGAGCAGGGGCTTCGGTGGTGGCAGGTGCGGTGGGCGGGACGCCGCCGCCGCCGCCGCCGCTGCTGCTGTCCGGGGACTCGGCGGTCGGGGTCCCGGGAGCGCTGCCGGGCGCCTGAGCGGTGCTGACTACCGGGGTGGTGGGCGCCGGGCCAGCTGTGCTCTCAAGGGTGCCGGGCGCGGGTCTGGAGGGTGGTGGTTCGGTGGCGGCGGTGGCGGGAGCGCGTCCCTCCTCGGAAGGAGCAGCGGGCGAGGGGCCAGGGAGCGGGACGGTGGCGGCGGGGGGTCGCGCGGTGGTGCGGAGAGGGGTGGTCTCCGGGGAGCCGGCGGACGGGGTCGCAGTCCCGGCTCTGCGGACGGTGGTGCGCGGGGGGCCGCTCCGCGGGGCCTGCGTCGTGGGAGCCGCGGCCCCGGCGAACGGGAGGCTGGCTCGGTCCCGCAGCCCCGGGGTGGGCGACGCGACCACCTGCCCCTCCGCCCCGCCGCCCCCGGTGACATTCCCCGCCGAGGCTGCCGAAGCGGCGGCGGCGGCCGCGCAACACAACAGGGCGAGGCCGCCCAGGCTCGGCAGGCTCCTCATGGCGCGCTCGGCTCCGCCATTCATTCATTCATCCAGCCGGTCGGTCAGTCATCTTCTTCTCGCTGCCGTCCGACCAAGGAAGCCGTCGCCGCCGCCGCCGCCGCCGCTGCCGCCGCCGCCACCGGGCGCACCATCGCCACCTCCCTCTGACAGGCGGCCGGCCCCGCGGGCGGGCCTCGGAGCGGAGGGAGAGACCCGGAGCGGCGCGCACCGCCCGCCCTCCTCGACAGACAGCCAAGCTTGACCAATAGGGAGCCGCGCCCACCCACGTGACCCGCCCGCTCTCCGGCCTCTTTGTAACGGCGAGGACCAATCAGAGGACGCAGACGGGGGAGCGGGCGGGACGTCGGGAGGCGCGAGCGGCTGTTGGAGTCGGCCGGGTTCGCGGCTGCCCGGCTTTGTCTACCCAGAGAGCGGGGCGCGGGCCTCGGGCATTCGGCGCCCGCCGCCGAGCAGACAAAGGACGTGCCCCGCGCGGCACACGCCGGGCCGAGTCATCTGTTCCGCTGGGCTGCGAGCGAGACCCGGGGTTGGGGAGTCCCCAGTGGGCAGCGTCTCCGCCCTCCTGAACAATGGGGGCCCTCCCGAGCCGCACCCGGACTCGGGCGGGGACTGGGCTGCGTCCCTGCGATGGGCGCGGGAGGTGGCGGCGGCGGCGATGTAGACGGGAGCTCGGCACTCACTCTGTGGCTCAAGAGAGCCCGGCCCCGGCCCTGCTGGGTCAGCCCTGCCACGCCACCCACTTCCCCCCCCCCCCCCCGTTTCAGAGATGGGGAAACCGAAGCTCTTGCTGACAGCTTCTGCAAACCAACCCCGGTACCCACCCCCCAGCAGGCACCTGCTAGGGGCCCGGCTCTGCTCTAAGCTGGGATGGGACAATCTAGAATCCTGTCGTGAGCATAGGGTGCAAGTTTCTGGCGTGGGGAGACACACTCGCTTTTTTGCACACTATGACCCGAACCTCGGGAAGAATAGGATAGGGCCCGGTTGAATTTCAGCACTTTGCCTCTCTTGCTGAGAGGTTTCGTGGCTCAAGCAGTGTTCTCGACCACATAAATGGTGAGATGGGAAGGACACACCCCATCTCCCTCACAGAGCTGTTGTGAGAATGAAATCATGCACACCACACGAAGGGCTTAACCCAGTGCTTGGCCCACCGTTGTAAACCGTCATTAATGCTAACCACTTGGGCTTTCACTGTGTCAGGACAAGCCCAAGGTTGGAAAGCAGCCCACACTGCCTCTGCATCCCCAGAGATTCCAGCCTGTTGTCGGCATTGAGGTGGGGCTGATAGCAGGGCTTGACCTGGGATGACATTAAACTCTGGAGCAAGTTGGAAAGGCAAACTTGCCCCATTACCCGGGATCCAGTGTAGTATCCGACTCTGTAGCCTCAGCTGAGCAACTTCTAGATGCGGCCTGGCAGGTCAGGTTTGTCATCTGATGGCTTAGTCCCATCCTACCAGCCTCGCTGCTAAGAGCAGTCTGGCCTCTCCTAGGATGCTTGCCTTTGTGCATGGTTTCCCATTAGTCATTCGCCTCTAACCAGACAGGCAGGATGAGATTTGTGTGTGAACGCGTGTGTGTTAACGAAAGCATGCATTTATTTGCCTGAATGAGTAGTGGGTGGGGAGAGGATGTGTTTGAGCTTGCGTATGAAAGCATAAACACATTTGTTTCTCTGTGAAGAGTGTATGTATTTGTGAATGTAAGAACTTGTACCAATTTTCCTATATATGTTTAATATATTAATAATGGGTGCATGTGTACCAGTGTGTGTTTTGTGTGCATTTTCTGTTTTTTGAATGTGTGGTTGTCTCTGGGTATGCCTTTATAGGCCTATCTATGTAAGAAAAAGGGGGCAAAATGAGAGGGGCATATACCTGTCTGAAGACCACCATTTAGCAAGCACTGACCAAGGTTCTGTTTTTACTTGTCTTTAGTCAGGGAGTAGACGCGGCACCCCCACCCCCTGCTCGGTATTTGTTTGGTTCCTCAACCCCAACCAAAATGCCACATCCTCTAGGAGACTAGGATTTCTGAGTGGGAGTTCGTCCCTCCACACCATTTCCCTATTGCTCTTTGTATAAAGCCCTGATCTATCAACCCCTGCCTCTTCCTAAAAGGATTAATAATGGCTTTTAGACATAGTACCACAAATAAAATGAACCACCCACATGACTTAATGACTTCTCCTGAGCACTCATCAACCTTAGGACTAGAACTTGTGATTAATACCCCCGCCTTTCTATTTCATCAGGCTCTGCCTGGGCCGGTGCCTAGCAGTGAGCACTCACACACGCTGATTAAACTGAAAGAGATCCTGTTGTGCTCCCAGGGAAAGCTTGTATCTCTGTGGCCACAGACTCCCATCAAGTTCCCCTGGAGCAAAACTTTACCTTCTCTGAGCCTCACTTTCCTGGTCTATGAAATGAAGCCATTAAGTCCTTGAACAGATCAAACACAACTAACAAAACAAACAAACAAAAAACCAGCCTGACACATGAATTACACTCTGTGTAAGTCACTTCACATTCCAATTGCTATTGCTAACTCTGAACTTTGTTAGCTGAAAGACTAACAGACAGAAAACCTCTGTTTGCAGAAACCTCTGTCCCATAAACTGCAGATCAGGTGACAGGGCTTGACAGTTGCCCTACTGGACATTTCCAAATGATGTCTAAAAACTGCTGGGTTGGCCTGAGCTGTGCTGTATCAGAGATTCTCTGACAGTAGAGCAAAAAAAGCTGATTTGGCTTTTCTGCCAGGAGGATCCCAGAGCAAAGGCCTAGAAGACCTTGCAGAGTGATGCAGGCCTGCTGTTGTGCCTCAGATAAGGATGCTTCGTGCTGGGCTTCTCAGGTAGGACAATTGGCCAGAAATATGTCACGGCAATGTTGAGGTTCTTTAAGATAATACTTTGAGACATTCTCACTTTGAAGCTTAGACTGGCCTCAGCCTCCCAGGTGCTGGCATCCAGATATAACCACCATTCCAGTTCTATAAGATAACTTAAACATGCTACTATTACTGCATTCAATATTAATTCCTTTGATTAAACATTTTGTTTGTGTTTATGTGTATGCACATGATCCCATGGCTCCCATGGAGAAGTCAGAAGACATTATGGGGGAGGTGGTTCTCTCCTTCCACTATATGGGTTTCAGATGACAAACTCAGGTTGCCAGGGAAGGTAGCGAGTACCTTTATCCTTTGAGTCATCTCACCAGCCCACATTTTTTAATTCACTGCTTTGATTTTGTCTCTAAACCACAAACTACACGATGGCTTGTTTTATTAAGTTTTCTGAAAGAGAGTTTTACTCTGCAATCGAGGCTTGCCTGGAACTCCCTAGGTAGCCCAGTTTAGGCCAGAACTCACAATAGTCCCCTTAGTTTCCTGAGTACTGGAAGTCCAAACGACTTATTTTTTAAGTAACATTTTTAGTTTATGTTTAAAAATGGGAAATACCATAAATATCCAACATTAGAAAAAGAAATACATCTGTTCAATTTAATTATATAACATCATTATCAGGGTGGCTATGAAAATAGTGCAGCCGATATTAATAGCAGATAATAGAGTTTGTGTGTGCCAGGCAATATACTAAGAGATCTGCATAACTTACTCCATTTAACCCTCAGGGCCCTACCAAGTAACTACCTATATCCTAGACTGTCTGAACTACTATGACAAAGACGAGGACACTTACAAACAATGCCAATTTAATTTCTCGCAGTTCTGGTGGCTAAGAAATCCAAGAATAAGATGCCATCTTTTAGAGTTTCTGGGAAGAGTCTTCTTCCTGGCTCATAGATTCCCTCCTTTCACTGTCTTCTTGTGGTAGAAAGGACAAAGGAGCTGTCTGGAGTCCTTTTTTTAATAAGGACACTGAACCCATTCACAAGGGCTTCACCCTGCTGACCTAGTATTTTCCAAAGGCCTCCAAATACTATTTAGGGATAGTGTTCAGATTTCAACAAACAAGCCTAAGAGAAGCACAGTATGATTCTATACCATTTTATTATATACATTTACACATAGGGAAGCTAGGATACAGAGAAGTTAAGCAGCTTGCCTAGGGTTCCTTAGCAAGTAAGAGTGACTAGATTCAGGCTGGCATCATTAACTGTAAAGGGAAAATACTCATGATATTATGTTAGGAACAGAAGAGAAGACAAAAGTGACAGTTCTAACACAGCTTGTCAGAATGGGGTCCAGTACTTTTCTGTTGCCCCAGAAGAAAGCTGTCACCCCACTATGGCAGCTAAGGTCACAAAGATCCAGAGAAGGTCTGATGGGATTCTGTTTGAGCAGCACCACCGTCTCCTGTAGTAACTGCAGACTCTGTAGAAGGTCCAAGCTGATCACACTTTGTGCTAGGCACTAGCTAAGCATAAAATCCACAGAATCAGCTTGGGAATCCTTGAGGTAAGAGGAGTCTTGTGATGGGGCAGGCATTGTTGAGGAGCTTTGTACTCACAGACACTGAGCAGACTGATGGCCTTGAGTGCATGGCACCTTAAAAACAGAAACACATTCCTTAGAGTTGGGACTGTCACCTATGCTGGAAAGAAAGAGGAAACCAAACTTCTAAAAGGTTGAGACTTGCCCAAGGTCTGCCTGACTTCTATAATAAAGTCTGTTAACGTAGACACTGGGTGTTGCACATAGCTGGAGGCCAAAGGCAAATGCTGAAGAAAGGTCAGACACACACCAAGTTTAGCCCCCGGCTGGAGCAGCCTTTAAGGAAGAAAAGAGGCACTAGACGTCAGAAAGCATAAAAATATGATAGTGGAAGCTTTGTGACACACAGACACTCCGCCCTTTCTGCTTTCATGGAGACATCAGTGCTGACAGACTCTTACTGATCCTTCAGGAACCTGGTCTCTTATCAGATGTGGCTGAATGCAAGGTTTGCCATCTTCTGCAGACAACTGTAGGGTTAGCAGGACCACTGCTAATCAAGTCTGCCCAGCAAAGAACACTGGCCGACAACTCCCGGGAAAGGAAACACAAGTGACTAAAGAGCATGGATGCTGCATGTGCAGGAGTAGTCGGCATTGCGAATCAACATGGTGGGTTGCTGTCCTTTTAAACCTACTGACTTTCATGGAATCAAAAAATTTAAGAGCTAGTTACACTTGCTACTAACCAAAGAACATCACCTACAGTAGTTAGGACTGTAAAAATTGATAGACTGTAGTCTCTCGGAAGTCTTGAACTTGTTCATTCTCTTCTTTAGCTCTCACTTCCCACTTTTAAAATTTTATCCAATGAAAATAATTATGTGTGTGTGTGTGTGTGTGTGTGTGAGTGCAAAAATAGAGTGCTTGGCATGATGGCAGATGCTTATGATCCCAAGACTTAGGAGGTAGAGACAAGGGTTAAGACCAGCCTGCAGATCCTGCCTCAGGGAGGGAAAAGGTTAATAAGAATTAGAAAACACTAAATAATTAAAAAAGAATTGATTTAGTATGTTGTACTCTATGTTCCTTTGTTGGAATATGAAGCATCTGCAATATGAAAATGAACTCATGGGGCTGGAGAGATGCATCAATATTTAAGAGTTCTTGCTGTTCTTCTAGGTGACCCAAGTTCAGTTCCCAGCACCATCTATGACTTCAGCTCCAAGGGATCCAACGCCTTCCTCTGGGATCCTTGCACCCCACCCTGAAACACACACACACACACACACACACACACACACACACACACACACGAGAGAGAGAGAGAGAGAGAGAGAGAGAGAGAACACAAAGATATAAGTAAACATAAATAAGACAGAATACACACAAACATATAAATAAACATGAATCTAAAACAAAAGTGAATTCATATTCTGGTAGTAGGAAATTATGCAAAAGATACATGACTGATACGATCACAATTATATAAAATGTAAAATGACAGTACAAAATAAAGAACCAAGTCAAAATACACTGAGCCACAAGCATTCTTTGTTTCTGAGTGACTTCACTATGGATGTTTTAAATTTCTTTCCCCATATTTCTGCATTTTTTACAATGCACATACACTGTTCTCAAAATCTGTAACAATCAACAACAGGAGTAGCTTGAATCTAAGTTGTCTTTCTACTGTGTTCTTTGTCCACCCCCTGGCATCTCTAAGTCATAAACCTAAATTCATTGGAAAGCACCATCTCTAAATGATGGTGCTAAATGTTGAAACCCAGCTTCAAAGTCCCTCTGAAGTTAAAATAAGCCCAGAAAAAGCATTTGCTGCACAGTTCTTGGAGATGTTGAAGGACGTCATTCACAGTGGGCACCGAGTCAAACCCTTGCTCATCATCACTGCTGGCAGCAGAGCAAAGAATCTGAACCATTCTGGGGTAGAATGGGGTCTGAGCTTCTGGAGTAACTCTTTCCCTTAGACTGCTATAATTGTAACAAAAGAGATTGATAACAAGCACACGGCAAACAGAACTTTCCCAGCCACTTCCTCCTGTCAGTCTTGTAACAATCCTGGAAGGAAGATGGAAGTAATAGCGGGAGCAATAAAACTAACAGTGACTGGCATTTGCTGAGCATTTATTATATGTCAGAAAACACTTGCTATGTGCAATCCTTTAACTTTATGCTGTTAAGTAAAGATTATCACCATGTTATATGGAAGTATCTTGCCATTCAAGGTAGTCAGATAATCTGCCCAAGGTTACCAGGGTAATAAATTGAAGGACTTTAGATCTCAGGTCCAAAGTGGCTTCTACCACTGTTTACTGCATTCCTTCCACCTTGATTATTATTTTTATAGCTTTTGTTTTTAGGACAGACATCAATTTGGCTGTAAAGAGTACTGGATTCAGTTCTGGTCATTCTAGCTGTGTAGGTTCAGTTAAGCTATTTCAGCTAACTGTCCTGGTTTCCCTCTTGGTAGGATGAGCATCACCAAACACAACTAAATATATAAAAGCTTTGAGCCAAAGACTCATTAATAATGACCATTCAAGAAACTTTGTTATAGGGCTGTTATTCCTGTCTTTCTTCATATAGGTGAAGGGCCAGGGGAATCCAATGTCCTGGAATCTCTGTTGCCAGAATTTCCAGACTGGCAGAGAAGTCACACTCCTTCCACCCTGTGTCCTTAGTCTTCAGCCCTCTGCCTTCTGATGAATCTCCTTCACCACAGCCTGGGCCTGCCAGAGGACAGCACCAGCACTGAAGGAGGACTTGGCACAGAGGACACCTAACTCCCCTATTTGAGGTGCCCCTGAGTGTGCTCGACCTTTGGGACTATGATGTTCTCTAATTGACTACTGCATGGTAACTGTATTGATTTCATGTTGGATTCTAAGGGCTGGATTCTGAATGACAGACAAACCCCACCTTAAAGAAACAAGCATGCCTCTGAAAGAGCTACAAAAGGAACAAACGTCAAAATAGAACAGGCCACTACTGAGTGGTCACTATTAGGAAGCTTTTGGCTCAGTACTTTGTATAGTCTGTTTTGCTTGGGGATGAAAGAGCTTAACTGAACCTACACAGCTAGAATGACCTTTAGCCTCAGACCCTCTAAACTCATTGTGTGCGAATGATAAACCAAGACTTAAGGAAAAAAAAGCCTTGACAGGATCTCACACTGAAAAGTGGCTGCTGGGCCGGGCGTAGGTGGCGCACGCCTTTAATCCCAGCACTTGGGAGGCAGAGGCAGGCGGATCTCTGTGAGTTCGAGGCCAGCCTGGTCTACAAAGTGAGTTCCAGGACAGCCTCCAAAGTCACAGAGAAACCCTGTCTCGAAAAACCAAAAAAAAAAAAAAAAAAAAAAAAAAAAGAAAGAAAGAAAAAAAAGAAAAAGAAAAGTGGCTGCTGAATCAGGGTCAGATTCTACCCCACTCCCACCCAACTTCCAAGTCACCATCAAACTCAAACTGATTTCACTCCTTACAGGGGAGGCAGCTGAGGGCCAATGAGAGCCCTCCAGTCTGGCTGGAGGCCCATGGGCCCATGGGCCTTCCCACTTCTGACTTCTGACCCAGGGCCTCTCTTCGCCTCACCAAGTTCTCTCCACAGAAACTGCAGTTATAGAATCACAGAGCTGGCTTTCGGCTGCCAGCTTATCATCAGTGGGGAAGGCAGGGTTTTATAGTGAAAACAGTGGGTCCTGCTTGCAGGCATCAGTAGTGGCCTGAGAAATGACAAAATCTTCTAAATTCAGCCACATTGTGTAACGGAAGTAAAAAGAGCTTTGTCATTCCATCAGACCAAAATTAGAACAACCTCTGAAGAGGGTCCTAGGAACCAGGCCTTCTCTCCAGACCATGGGTCTCATTTCCTTTCCCAGACAATCACTGCACTGTTCTGATGGTCACTGGGCACTTACTGGGAATGTGCAATGCCCCAAGTGCAGTCTGGAATTCGGAACTGGATGTAATCCTTAGCCACATGCTGGCAGCGCTACCTCCGTAAGAGGTAGGAACACTGGAATCTCTGCCATCCAGTTTCCCTTTGGGGACTTAGTCTGTTATTCAGGCAAGCTGCATTTGCTGCCCAGAATCATTTCCCTTCAAGAAAAAAATGTTCTGGTGAAGAAAGTCCACAATTCTGTAGACCCAGCTGCACCACTCCCATCCTGTGGTGCTGGAGGCAAAACTCAATCTCTCTTATGGTCCTGTATGGAACTCACAAAAAGGGCATCAAATGTCTGGGCTAGGAGAATTCATTCATTCATTCACCAAAAATGTACAAACACTAACTGAGAAAACAACCAAAATGGAACTGTTCATTCATGGTACTTAGAGTAAAGCAAGTAGGGCCAGTGATGAACACATAAATGGGCAAATAACACAGATATTTAGAGAAGATAGTAAATATTACAAGGGAAATTGGAAGACACATAATAATGAAGCAATAGCCTTTCACAGTATTCAGAGAAAGCGTCTCTGAGGATTGAATATTCTTTCTGAAATCATAGGGAGGAATAACATACAGATCTGTACACATAAGTAAATATAAACATGTACACACATATAAACAAAACATATACACATAAGCATGGACACATAAATATACACATATAAACACATGTACATACCTACAGATATACCTGTACATACACAAGTATACATACATGGACACACAAACATAAACATACACATGTACTCACACATAACATATATATGTACAGATATAAGTATAAGCATGTATATGCACATAACATACACAGGTACACACATAAACATGAGCATATATGTAAAACAAGAACATATATTCACAAAAACATAAACACATACCAGCATACATATGAATATAAATATGTATAAAACCACATATATATACACATGTATACCCACACAATATTCACTTTTACAAATGCATAAATATAGATATATGCATACATAAATATACACATATACAGATATAATTATACACATGTACACAAACATAAGTATGTATAAATACACACTAAATATTCACATGTGCAAGTACATAAATCTACATGTACACACATAGATATACACAGTACAATATAGTTATAAACATGCACACATTAAGTATACACATGTAAACACAAATAAATATACATAAGAATATATATACATGTACTCACATAAATATACACATGTACACACCAAGTACATGCATGTACAACATATAAATATGCATGACCACAGAGTGATATACACATCCATACACGTAATCATATGTTCATACACATGCATATGCATGTACACATACATAAATGTACACATGTAAATTTGCACATGTATAAACACTCAAATATACACATATATCCATATGTAGATACACACATGTGCTAACAATTATACACATAAACATGTGCATACAAAAATGAATTGTGTATACACAGAAATACATACATGTGCACACATAAACACGTATAAACATATACTTGTAGAACTTCATAAGCATAAATATGTATATGCAAACATGAATATAAAATGTATCCACAAACATAAAATACACATGTACACACATATAAAATACAAGTGGGTGCACACAGACATGAACAAACATGCATACATGTAAATATGTAACACGAACATAAACATATGTGGTGATGTATTATTTATGATTTATTAAAGCTTGCCCGAGGATTCAGAAAGCAAAGCTAGCCTCAAGCTATAGAGATCAGGCATGGTAATATACACCTTTAAGGTCAGAAGCCAGAAGCTAGGAGGTGATGGTACACACCTTTAATCCTAGGATTTAGGATTAAGAGGTAGACAGATCTCTGTGAGTGCAAGGCCACCCAGATCTACACAAGATTGATCCAGTCCTAAAGAGAAACAGCTCACACAAAGATGATCTCAGCACCTGGGATCACACGCCTTTAATCCCAGCATTAGAGGAGCATAAAAGATAGGTATAGGGTCTTCAGTAGTCAGTATCAGGCATTCATTCTCCAGCCACACTGAAGACAGGAGGGATTCAGTCTCCATCCACCTTGAGGATAGGAAGATATCCAATCTCAGGGTTCTCCAGCCACCCTGAGGAGAGGCAGCAGGATCAGCGATTTCAACCTGAGGTACAATAATAGCTAATGACCGGCTACTTTGCTTTTCTGATCTTCAGCTTGAAAGTTGAAACCGAAACCCAATATCAGTCTCTGGGTCATTCATTTATTGTGCAACAAATATATACATCTATACACCCATAAGTATACACATGTACACCCACATAAATATATAAACATACACCTACACATAAGCATGCACATATACATACAAATAAATACACTCATACAAACACATATAAACATACACATGAACACAAACATAAATATACACATGTATGCACATAAATTTACACATGTGCACACATGTAATTGTCCACATATATACACACAAATAAATATACACCCTATAAACACATACATAAACATTCACATGTAAATACACAAACATTAATATACCCATGTATACACACCACCATAAACATACACATTTGTAAACACACA